CAACCCAAGCTTTCACCAGCCGATGTAGCACTGATGCACTGAACAACGCATGTTCGTAAATATTGTGCTTCTGACGGTCAGCAACTCCCGATTTGTAAATCATGTGCTTTGACTCCATAGGTTCACAAGTAACCACGCAGCCAGTGAACAAGAAGTTCGAAGCCAAGTGAAATCGATGGTGGTGTTTCGGCTTGTAATACTGTCCACCGTATGCCCAGCCAAACTCTTGTTGATGTCTTTCTTGCAGTGTTTGTAGCCTGTTTGTTTCATCAGGCTCAAGACGAACAGTTCGGTTCTGCAAGGACCGAACGTGAGACAGGATGTCGCACAAAACGCCGAAGGAATCAAAGAACTTCTTTGGCACTTGGTCAGATGGATCAATAGTGGTCTCTCCATAGTACCGAAGCAAAAAGGCAAGCGCTAATGTGTGATGAGCTTGGCCTTTGTATAGGCCTTCCCCAAACATTCTGCTGTCGAACAAGCGTCCAAGGTAATTGGCAGTTTTTTCCGGAACTACGGGTTCCTTTCCAGCCAGCTCCCAACGCACATGTTCTCAACATATCCAAGGTGATGGAAGTGTGATCCACAATCGTCTGAACAAAGAGAGCTATCTCCCAAGATGCGATGCCGTTTGCAAGATATGTGTGCATGTAGTCAGTCAATATTCTTGATGGGCCCAACTTCCACCTTTGTTCTGTGAACAACAGGCTGTTGGGAACAAACGAAAAGCCAGCACATTTTTTCTGTCATCTCCAACTCTGCTTTGGTCGCGCAATGTTGCATGCTGTCCGCCATTTGGAAGATCTCTTCGTCTGTGACCGGTTGAAAGCCTTGCCACGCAGACACTTCGACAAAGAAATCGTCGAATCGAGAAATATTTGTGTCACGCTTCACAACATTGGAACAATGTAAGCAGGGGCGAATGCCAGAAGATCCCTTGGATGAATATACCGCCCTAATACCTTCATTGTCGGCTATCAGAAGCCCTTTCTGTTTCTGCCGGAATTTGAAGTTCAATCCATGACAGGAAATTCCAAAACCGTGTTCGTTTTCCACTGTCCACAGATTGGTCAAGATGGCCACCACTACAGCTGATGGTCCACCTTGAAGCAAATTCAAACAATCTGATTGAATTGCCGCAATTGGTAACCACATGCTCTGGTTCTTGAGGTAGTGCCAAGTCTCCACCCATGTCATGTAGAACAAGCACGCCTTGCGTGCTTTGTCCACCGATAAGACATTACCAGCAGTGCACTCATCACAGTAAATGATTGGTGTGAGGAACGAGTTTTTCTCAAAAGATTGCTTCAAAGCGTTGGTGAAGGCAAGCGATTGTTCACACACAGTTTCAACCAGCGGTTGCAGCTGCATCAAAGGTAGGTTGACCATTGTCCCATCGTGACATTCAAAGGCCTGCTCAAAGGAGCAATCTTTCCAAGGCCCCAGAACACTTTGCACTGTGTCCATAAAGGTGCGGCGGGAAATGTTTGCGCCATCATCTTCTCTACAAATGTTCCAAATCTCATGAACTGCTCGTTCACTCGCTCCCGGCACCTGCAAGCATCTGTCCAGTTGACCTTGCTTCTTCGGCGTCAGTTTTCTTTTTGGCATACTCCATGCAGCACGCTTTCTCCATGTCGGTGGGGTTTTTGTGAGAGAATCACCACCTATATGATTGATTTTTGTGTCCACCAACAACATGAGAAAAGGCATCAAGTTATCTGGAATCTTAAAGTTCTTTAATTGATACAATTGAAGACACTGGACCAAAATTGGACTATGCGGCCAGCTTTGAGGTTGCCAAGTATACCATTATAAGAGGCGCGAATGCGTCTGCATGTCTTGTTTAGCGGACGCACCGCTCAAAACGCATATGTGTATGGCCATTCATTTGCGATACTTTAGCGGACATACCGCTCAACACTCATACAAACCTGACAGCTGCGCTTGTTTTTCTCAGCAGCAAATTAGACTCACCACTCGTGAATCGCATGACAATCACACTCGTTTTCAGAAAACGATGAATTAGATGCAAGCCAACGCCACCACATTGAAAGCTAGGCGCCCCCAGTCTTGGCCTTTCGCTTTGGAGCGGTCTTCACCTTCGGGGTGGCTTTGGGTTTCGCAGCCTGCTCCGCCTTCTCAGTTTTCACGGCCCACTTGGCATCGGCCATGAGGTCTTTGGATGCTTTCAGTTTGGAAGTCATGCCAGCGTGGTCCGTGTCGAAGCCTTCTGGGTCATTGTTGACCTTGTCCTCCTCTGAGGCGTTGATCAACTTCTTGGCGCCTGGGCGTTGCTTTGCAAATCGAACATGTTTAGACATTACAATACGACCGTGTAAGGGTTTCGAAAGCGGACACACCGCTAATCCAAAGGAAAGCTCAACATCGACCAGGGCACAATGGTTCCATCGTGCAACGAGGTTGGCAGCATCCTTCAAGCCGTCTACCATGGTCGGGTCAAAGCTGTCAAGCTTCTGATACCGCGCCAATGTGTTGCCCAAACCCTTCTCGAGGGCGCTTAGTGGGGCTAGCATCTTTGTAGCCAGCCCGCACTGGGTATTCCACAGCTTGGCGCGCTCGTTGGCCATTTTGCGCGCAGCTTTGGCTGCGTCATCCTCTTTCCCCTTCTTGGGGACTTTCGGTCCAGCAGGTCCCTCAGTGTCACTGGGAATGCTCCAGACATCGTCGTCCACCTCGACGACCAAAGGACCAGCAGGGCCAGTCGAGGGAGCGGCAGCAGGTTTGGCCTTGGCAGCCGCCTTGCCTTTGGCGATCTTTTGCTTCTTCAAATTGTATTCCTTGTCAGCGATCTCCCTTTCAACCTCCCCCTTGATGTCTTCCGTATGGATGGACATCAGCGGTGCACTCCACACCTCGCCAAACACCTAGGACTGTATATGAAAGCGACACAAAGACATACAGCGCAACCCAGAAAAGTTTTAAAACAAGCAGGTAACAACCCCATCAGGATTTGGAAAGTCTTGACATTGAAAAAGCAAGTGACCAAATCATCCTTCTTTCGTCCCTGAGCTTTGATTTGCGAGCTGTCAAATCCTCTCTTTTCCCAAACGCTCAAGGGCAAGTAGTCTTCAGAAACTCGGTGGGTGACCTGCGAGGTCCTGAAGGCGACCATTTCTTTGACCAGTGCTGACTTCACCATTGCCCAGCGTCCGTTTTTTGGGAGCGGAGGCCAGGAGACTGCCACTGCTTTTGAAGAAGGTCTTCTGCTGTTCAGCTGTCATCGAACTCACCCCTTCTGGAATGCCGCCCATGTGGCGGTACATCATCTGGTACACACTTGCGCACCG